CAAAATTACACAAACACACACACACGTGTACACACACACACACACTCGCGAGCTTCTCCCAGACCAGCAATCCAAACGAAAATATCTTCCCTCCGTAGTATTTTGATCATTTGCTAATAACCAATCAGATCGATGGATTCCAGAGAAGAGAAAACTTTGAAGGCCTTTTTCTCAAAATGATGACTCGGTGACAGTCATTATATAATGTGACATATTTCGCTTAATATTTGGAGTACAAAAACAATCCTGATATCATTAGAAAGCTAGGAATATCCTCTTTCCAGCAGTGTATACAACTCAAAATGTGTCTTCGGGTCAATGCGACTGATTTCGATAGAGCAGGTCAAATATGTAATATAAATATATATAATATATATATTTATATTATATATATATTATATAAATATATATATAATATATATTTCCCCCTTTCTCCTCCAGGAGGACTCAGGTGAGGGTGTTGCACTTCTCCTTGTTCATGTGATGTGTTGCAGTTTTTTCGTTTTGTTTCTTTCCGTTAACTGTCAAGTGGGAAATAAGTATTTTTTTGTTGGTTTTTGTGTTTCTCTTATTATCCAACGATGCTGTTATGATGGCTGTGAATCAGAAAATATGAAGGACCATCTCTTTCTCTTTCTATGTTGAGAAAGGGGCCGGTCATGTCAGATGGTTCTCTTCTTTTCGGGCACGACGTGTTTATAGAGACATGCTTTGTAAATAATTGTTATACATTAAGTTGTGCATACCATGAACGGAACAAATAAAAATGAAATGAAATATATATATCCGTATATACTGAATGTATATATATATATATATTGAAATGAATAACTCACTGGAACTTCCTGGCGCACTCGGCCTCTCGGATGTAGTCACACTCCAGAGCGAGCTCCCTGCTCATCACCTCGATCATGTGCTCCGGAAACAGACCTGAGGAACATCAGATCATTATAGAAACTATAAACACAGTATATATGAAAATATATATAAATATATATATATATTTAGATATATGTAGATATGACAGTACCCTCAGGCAGCATGTTGCTGAGCTTCAGGACCGTCATGATGTTGTTCACGTCGCTGTCGATGCTCTGAGCCACGCCGGGGTACTGAAACACATTCATTTCACTTTCTTTAAAAAAAACATTTAGTTTCAGGGTTTTTTTAAATGTTTAATATTTACATTTATTTTATTTCCTCCATTTAAAGTTAGTATTTCTTAACTTTCATGTATTACAGTTTTGTTTTTCATAATTTCTTGTATTTTTTCATATCGTTTTTTATAGTTTTTCTTTATAAATGCAGTTTTAGTTTTTATATATTTATTTAGTTTCCTTGTAAAAATTATATTGATGTGTTTTCCATTTCATAGGGTTGGTTTTTATATGTATTGATTTTCAGTTTTTTTAGGTTTCATTAATTCAATTAATTAATTAAGTTTTATTAAGTTTAGTTTAAGTTTTTCTGCATTTATATATGAAGATGTATTTTATAATAGTTTTAAAAAAAGATTATTATCGACAAAACGTCATGTTTTAATATAATGTCTGCACGTGAGAAACAAACGTTATATTACATATTATAAATAAGTAAATAATTTTAAGGTATACTATTTATTTGTTTTCAACGAGACAAAATCATTCTAGTAGAATCTTTGATAAAATATATCGTTTTTATTTATTGGAGTTTCTGTCGGTCTTTTTTTTAAATGTATTATCTATTTTCTTCCCACCTGTATCTTCATGGCGACGTCCCGTCCGTCCTTCATCCTGGCGGCGTGGACTTGCCCGATCGATGCCGCCGCGAACGGTTTCTCCTCGAAGAACTCCAGACGGCTCCTCCAATCAGGACCGAGGTCGCTGCTCACGGCTTTCTGCAGGAAACATAAATATATATTAGTTATTAACTCTGATTAATGCAATTAGAGGATGTTTCCTGCGTCTCAGTGGATCGTACCATCATCTGTCCGGGGGGCATGAAGTCAGCGCTCTGTCGAACTCGCTCGAAGATTTTGGCCAACTGAGGGTTAATGACAGCGTCGTCTGAAAGAGAAGAGACAAAATAACATCGTTTTAAAACCTCCTGTTATTATTATTAGATTATTGTTTACTTTTATATTTTGTTTTTATTTTAAATATACATTATTATTATTATTATTATTAATGTTGTTATTGATCAACCTCTTGGAGATTAATCAGTAAAAATACAATATTTTAAATACTGTGGGAAATACTACAGCTACAAATAATGCAATTATTTTTATAATCAAACAGAAATATTATTAAAATAACAATTAATTATATACATTTTCCCCCAACTGGTAACCAGCATTTTATGTATTTGGTCACTGTGCAACATGGACGCGGGAAGGGGGGGTGCTGAGGGGGCTGCAGCACCCCCATCTGTTGGCGGAGAGTTGTAA